GTCTATATTATATATTGTATTTTTGCTTTTTTGTACATTATCTATTTTGTATATTTTTATATTATTCGTTTTATTATCTGTGTCCTGTCTTGTCACTGTCATTCTGTTGCACCGTGGAGCTTCTGTCACTAAAACAAATTCCTCGTATGTGTAAACATACCTGGCAATAAAGCATTGTTAAGCACAAAATTCAATAATTAATTCAAAAGTAGTGTATTGTGCACTTTTTTCATTTAAAAGTACTGCTATATGAACAAAAGTGCAATAATATTTGGTTTGCAAACACTTTAAACAAATAAGGTCCTTTTTACAGCAGTATTCCTTTAACATAGTTAAATATTTCTTGTAAATCACAACTTATAACATTAATGTAATCAAGTTAAATATATAACCAAAGCTATTTGCCACTGCCAGGGCATTAACATTTTTATAGAAAATATTTTATAGTTTGTTATAGAAAAAAGTTATGCTCCTAGTCCAGAGCCTCGATCATAACATTATAACAAGCACTTTCCGAGTAGAGACCTGAATGATCGCGGGACCCAACGCAGCAGAGTGCGGCGCGGGACAACACTTGATGGGCGAGGGTGAGTGCGGGTGCGGGTGGGTAGAGACTCGTGTGTGGGGGATGCGGGAGAATAAGGGTGTACTCACACTAGGCGTTTTGAAACGTGCCCGAGCGCGTTTGACCCCAAAAGCCCGGTTCGTTTGACTAGTGCGTTCTCTCCATGCCGCGCTTGAGCGTGGTTCGTTTAGCCGGCCCTGGCTCGGTTGGAAGAGGTGGGCCAGAGCGCGGTTCAGTTATATATACTGTAGATCAGTGAGTGTGTGCGCTAACCACGCAGGAGCGTGGAACTTCTGATACGTGCAGCATGATTGTGTGAACATTTCTGAACGGCAAAAGTGATAGACCTGTAAAGCAATATATTGTGAGAGGGCCGTGTGTTACTGCGCCCCAAAAGACTTATAATAATAAACCACACAGTTAACAAAACAATGCACTCCACTGTGCTGAGCGAGAGCACTTCTCTACTGTCTTCACGTGCTATCGGAAACTTCCTATTTCCCACTTATGAAGTCGTGATTAAGAGCACGTTGAATTCTTTTCTGTTTAAAATAACAGTGTACAGTGGTTTTTGAATGTTCATGCTTATCCTAAATAATTTCATCGTGAGCGCTTCATGTGAGCGCTGCTGCAGTCTTAGGCCCACCCCAAATACTCTCATTGGTTGAGACGCGTCATGACACCCATCCCAAGCCAGTACTGATCAACATCCCACCCCTCCTGTGAACCATGGTTTGTCTGTATGTGTATTCAGAGCCAGTGAGCAACGGACTTTCATAATAATAAAAAAAAACTGTGTTAATGCGCGATAAAATAATTGTCAGCGTTAATCAATTAATGCGTTAATCTGATAATAACGCGTTAACTTGCCCAGCCCTAATATATATATATATATATATATATTCATGCTTAGTGTTATTTTAAACAGGACAAGGACCAGCAAGACTTAGATAAGTAATAAACTGTATTTCTAAATCAGTAAATCTGCAAATATTGTCTTAAAGTCTGATGATGCAAATTGTAATTTGTGGCCCTTTGCATTTTATGTAGTTTATAAAACCCAATAAAAACCTAATAAAACCCAAAACACACACAGCTACAATCAGAGATAAGAGGTGCATTTTCTGCTCTTTAGGTCCTTTCCACCAAACTGCCTACCCCCCACCCCCACACTTGAATTTACTGTAACAATGAATAACGTCAAGTCCCGCCCTATAATTTTTTTTCACATTCTAAAAGCTGTTTCACTCTGAAATATGTCACAATACATACATCAATTCAGACATAACTTCTGTTAAATTACTTTAAGTTTGCCGAACAGGACACTAATTATGAGATGGTGTAAAATCAAAAATCTAAATGGCAAGATACAATAGAGATTTGCTTTTGTTACATTTAAATTGTCATTGCCTTGTTCTAGTTGTAAAGGTTAAAAGAAGGTTAGGATACTGACAAACAGTAGTGTTTAGTTGAACTTGGACTCGAACTCTGCCCTTTTGGACTCGGACTTGAGTCCGATTCAGCCCATTTTGGTCTCGAACTCGATTGGTTAAAGACTCAGACTCGACTTAGGTGGACTTGAACCCAATACTAACACCATGACAGAATAGTCCATATATTGGATCTAGCAGGGGTACTGCTCTTTCTCTTCATTATCACCTAGGATCACCAAGGACCACACACATGAATTTTGAGATTTGGCCAGTGTTGCGCTGATTATGGATTAACTGTTGAAATTGTGGCTACACAAAAATAGTCCTCTGGGGATATTTTGTCAGTTTGTGGAGCTGGCTCTTTGGTTCCACCCAGAAACCTATCCCTCTTCTGGCTCATCATCGGCTCACCTGAGTTTCTCTTACTCACTGCTTTAGATACAATAGAGGCAGGTCAGGATGCTTTCTGTAATGGGAATTTCCCATGAGTCACTTAGTAATGAAAAGCTGTGCAAGAGAATGTTTATGTGGTCAAATATCTGCACACAGAAAGGCCATCTATTTTAAAGCTCAATTTGGTAGCTAGGCTCAAATAAGTGGATGCAAACATGCTTAAAAACATGCAACTTAGCTATTAATGAGTTTTCTGCCCTACCAGGACTTATGTGGGATGCAGACTTGTTTTAAAAATATGGTAGCACCTATCTACTAGTAGTGGCATATTTTTCCAGACTTGTGGAATTTTTTCAAACTAACTCCAGCAAGAAATTATGAAATGTAATAGTGCAGTAAAAGTCAATATTTTTACAGCATGGTATTTCAGAGATTATTTTCTCTGACAGCAGGCCTGAGTTTTCCATTTTCAAGCTTTGCAGCGGATCATAGCTTCAGTCACATTGCCAGCAGCGTCCAGAGAAGCCAAATATATTGTTCAGATGGTGTAACAGTTGCTCAACATAGCTAGAGATCGTATCTAATATTGCTGGCTTACAGAACAACACAGCTGGCAGATGGTTACAGTCTGACTCATCTCCTGATGGCATGGAGGTTACAAACACCATTATCATAGCATCACTCGCTTCTGATTCTAAACCTCACTGGTTACAATTTGGTAGTGGCACTTGAAAAGGAAAGTACGGATCAAAGACATAAAGACTTAGGGCACTGTGGTGGCACCACACTCAAACACTTGGGGGATAGCCTTCAAGGCATTGGTGGTGGTTGAGTCTTTATGTCTTTCTTTTTGCAAAGCTGTCACTTTGTCACTGCAGCACAGAGTTCTATATCATGACTTGCAGCACCTCTATGGATTTCTTCCAGGAGGATTTCTTCTGCCAGTGGCTTGCTGACCTTCCTTCAGCTGTGATGATTTGTTTGGGGAGACATATGTTAGACATGCGGATGACATGGCGGGTCCATCAAAGTTGGTACGGCATTATTATGGTAGCGACGCTGGTCATGTTGGCTTCCTCCAAGAAACTGATGTTGGTGAATCTGTCCTCCTAGATAATCCTCAGAATATTTTGACATTTAGTGGTATTGTTCCAAGGCCCTCAGGTCCCTGCTGTAGGTGGTCCATGACTTCATACAGCAGGGTGGAGGGGACAATGGCTCTGTAGACCAGGGAGATTTGTTTGGGCTTTTAGCTCTCAGGCTGCAAAGACTCTTCCTGAGTATGGTGCAGGCTGCACTGGCAGAACTCAGTCGGTGGTTGATGTCTGCTTTTGAGGAAAGAAGTTGTACATCTGTACATGATTCTGTACAAGTGCATGTTTTTTTCCAGACCTTGAGGATTACGGCATGAATGTGGTACAGGAGCTCTGAATTACCTTCCTTTAAATCTCAGCAGAGATTCCATCTGGACTGGCAGCTTCATTGTTCTTATGGCTCCTGATGGCGTCTTGCAATTGTTACAGTTAGAGGTTCCCCCATGCCTTCTCTGATGGGACTCTGAGGGATATGTTTGGAAATGTCTATTTCAATTGTGCTTTCACAGTTGAGGAGTTCTTGGAAGTGCCCATTCGATTAGGTGCTAATGGCAGCTCCTGCCAATCCCATGTGTGTGCAGGTGTTTAGGCCACAGAAACTTGGACCATAGATGGCCTTGGTAGCACTGAAAAAGACTCTGATGTCACCCGAGTCTGCCAGTCTCTGGATTTTCAGAGCCTTTTCTGTCCACCAAGAATTATTTAACTCCCTCCCCTTCTGTGGACATTCTCCTTGGCTCTGGCATTAGCCACCCCATTGGCCTTTCAAGTTACATCATATAGCCAGGCACGGAAGGCTTTCCTCTTTTTTGGAGATTAGTTGTTCAGTCTCTGTGCTGTTCTCATGGAACCAGTCCTGGCATTTCCTTGAATAGTTTTGTAGGTAACGACGCCATGGGTATTATTTAGTTAAACTAAGTATGTGCTGCAGTGAATAGATTAGAATACCGGAATAGTTCTGTTAATAATGGCAATACACAATTTAAGTTTAGGCAGAAAAACTTTGAATGATTATTATGTATTTCTTTCAGAGAATGGTATGGGGGGAGTGAGGGAGAAACTGTATGGATAGTGAATACGTTCAATGGGACTCATTAATTTTTTCATCAGTAGCAAAAAAAAAATAAAAAATCAGATGATACACGCTTCATATGTCTTTGTGAGTTACCAAAACCAAATGTGAAAAAAAAAAAAAGATGATACACACTTCATATCTCTGTCTTTGTGAGTTACCAAAACCACATGTGAAAAAAAAAGAAGAAAAAAAGTACACATAATAGTGGCTGCTCGAAATTGACAGATGTGAGTTTGGTTAAAGAATATTGTTGTCTTCCTAAAAAAACAAACTATATGTAAAAGTAATCATATTAAGTACTCAAATACAGGAATGACAACTATGTTCTGCTGCCATGTGAATGTGTGCTTTACTTATTATTATTGGTAAAATCCAGTATCAGTCTGACTTATTATACTGTGGAAACTGATCCTTCACACAACACACAGACATACATTTACCTCCTCTATCTGCTCTTGTTTCTTCTGTATAGCTCTGTTTCGTGCCACAGCACATGTCACAGATGAGAGAGCATCTCTGTTGCTGGGTTTCTGTGACACCTGTGGAGGTCACCACAAAAGACATCATCAATCTTTCAATCTAAAACTTTCGTTTTGCTATTATTTATATGCTACATTCTTAAACGACAGTTGAAAAAATGTTAAGGTGTGTTCACGCCATATCTTAATTACCGTAATTACATCATACCAACTTGAAAAAAGCGTTCACGTCCTCATAGAACTCATAATTACAACTTGTGAACTGGGTGTTTTCTGAGAGCTACGGCTTGTACCACGTGACCACTGCACCTCACGCGGAACCAGAGAAAAATGTTGGTGCTTCCAGTAGTAAAATGTAAATAAGCAGTTATTTCATAATATTTATGTTTTAAAATTCATGTAATTGACTTTTGCCAATGTAGACGTTTTCATACAAAAGTAATGTGAACATAAACGAAAGACATGCAGCACAGAGTAAGATATCTAGGCTATCCATGTAATAACAACCTAAAGAAATATTTATAAAGAGTAATAATAATGCATTTGCATAGCAACTGTTACTTGAATTGTGTTTTACAGCTGGCAGAAACATTCTTTCATGCGGGTTCATTTTGTTGACTGTCGCTATAGAAACGGATAATCCCTAGTCCGAGGACGTGAACAGCACCAAGTTGAACATCACGTGTTGTCATCTCGGAATTACGGTAATTACAACATGGCATGCACGCTGCATAATGCTCAGTAATGCTCTTACAATTGCAATCACTTTTAAGGTTATGTTTACAGACTTTACATACTCAAGACAGAATTTATAACTTTGCACAGACAAGAACAGTAAGTGATTGTATCACAATAGTTTACATGTTATTATACTTTTCAGAGGAATGAGGGTAAACTAATTTGGCCTGCTGTCCATGATGAAGGACTAAATATGAGACTTGACTCAAGATCTAAGTTTTCCCAGGACTAAAATAAAATTAACAAAAATTTAACTTTGATGCTTGCTATAACATGCATTAGCATGTTGTTAATGTGTTTTAGCACATTGCTACCATGTTGTTAGTGTGTTTTAGCATAGTGCTAACATGTCTTAACGCATTGTTAGCATGTTGATAGTTTATTTTACCTTGGTACTAGCACGTTGTAAACATGTTTTACTATGTTGTTTGAATATTTTACCACATTCCTACATGTTTTACCGTGTTACTACCATTTTGCTAACATGTTTTTAACACATTTTAACATTTTGCTAATGTGTTTTAAAAGCATGTTTTATAAGCTTAGCATGTTGATAACATGTTTGTTGACATGTTAACAACATGGTAACAATGAGCTAAAACACGTTTTGTCCACACACTGATATAACTGCTCCATAAAATTATTTTATTGCTGCAACGTTTCGACCATCAGGTCTTCGTCAGGCACACATTAAGTGAACTGAGGTGCAACTCTTTATAGGTAACAGGTGGTCATCCTAATTAGACACGTTCAATCACAAATGCAGGTATACTCCCACAAAAAGAGGAAGAAAAAAAGGCAATACAAGTCAAATTCGAATCAATAACCACTCCTCAAAATATTTGGACAATATTAAAAACAGGTGAAGAAATATACACACAATCTTATAAGAAATAGTGATGGGAAGTTCGGATCATTTTACTGACTCAGACCTTTGAGTCTCGTTCAGCAAAATGAACGAATCTTTTTCGAGTCTATATATAATGTTATAATCTAAATCTACTCTTACGTGATGCATTTCTGGTCTCAAATTGTAGCTTTTTACTTCTTACAGTTTATAAGGTGAACTACTTGACTAATTCCAGTACAGAACCTATAGGATGTTGCGCATGCGCGACTGAACGAATCACTCCCCGAGACGACTCGTTCTTCTCAAATCACATTAAAGATTCGTTCAAAATGAACATATCATTCAAGAACGACCCAACACTAATAAGAAAGGCTTACAGTTTTTTTTAATTGCTTAGACACTAAAAGTGATACTTGAGGCCCACTTAGTGAAACCAATCACTCATATACCTAATCTTTAGACCAAGTCTGCAGAACTACAAATACATTACATGCTTTAAACTCTGTTGTAAAACAAACTTTTTGCAAAAATCTAAACACAATTCTCTACATTACACACATCATTCGAAACTAACAGCTATTTTGTTTAATTTGGGAAACACTGCCTTTTAATGCCACACTCATTTACTGATGACCTACACACAGTGATCATGTGTGAAAACACTTATACATCATTTGTTCACTTAGTAATCAAAACTCAGTTTATATATATATATTTAGAAATAAATTATTTTTACCCCCTTGCATTTCTGTTTACATTGTATCTATATTGTACAAGCGCTTTATAAATAAAGCTGACTTTCTGACTTGGCTTATATGCGTATTCAGTGTGTGTATAAATACACTCTCAGAAATAAAGGTACAAAAGCTGTAAGGTACACTTTTGTACCTATTAGGTTCAAATATGTACACTTTAAGTACTAATATATATACCTTTAATGATTAGTTTCCACTGAGCGGTACGGTACAGTACAGTTCAGTACAGTACGATTTGGTACGTGTAACCCTGATCCAGCTTGCGTTTCCACTGCCAATAGTACCCTTCTTGATAGATGTGGTGTATGTCGGAAAGTAGCGATCGACGATAAAGCGCGACAATAAGCACAACTCTGCCTCTTTTTGTTAAATGTCAGTTTTAATGAACAATAATAGCCATTATAAAAGTATAAGTACAAAGTATAAGAGGCTTCTATAAGAGGAAATAAAGACAAAAGCAAACAATTCAGTCAAACGTATGCTACAAAGTCAGCGCTGTACTACGGTAAAGTTCAAAATAAATATATAAAGTTAAACATAACTTTGTGCTCAGCCAAAACGATATGACCAGGAATAAATAATAGATTCATGAGACCACGAATCTCTGTTAAATATAGCCTACCCAAAACGAATTGTATCTCGTGTTTAATCACTACAGAGACATCAGAGCCAGCGGCAAATGTCGGAAGGACTAAGCCGAGCTAAGGCTGCTCTATGAGGATACATGAGCACTGAGCGCCCGCTGATCGCCTGGAGCTCCAAAATCGGCATAGCAAATTTTCAAATAGGTGCTATCTTTATAAATAAACCACAGATTTGAGTTTTAAACAATTACATTCTCACCTGAAAAACTCTTAAAACTACATTTCATGACACAATAACAGTAATATTTAGAAAATTACACGGGTTTTTGGGCAATGACGTTAAGCTAACCCTAAGTCCACAAGAACAGACAAGAACGCATATTGAGAAACGGCTATTGTCTGTGTGAAAATATAAAATTATAAAATACACGGTTATATTTTTTTTGTTCGCACACTCTGATGTAAATGAGCCCAACACTCGTGGACAGCAGAGCGGAACGAGTGCAGGAGAAGCTTTATCCCCTTGTGTCACGCAAAAGTGACGATTCTAGTCAACCAATCAACGTTCTGCAGTGAGTTTAGCTCCACCCTTTTGGTACCCTTTGCTGTGCTATGTACCCCACCGGAAGGGTACCAAAAAAGTGGTACGGTACGGTTCGCTATTTTGGTACCATTCACAACTTCTCACAGTGGAAACGGAAATAATTGCGTTGTCACGGTTTATGGGCTCACTGACTTATTCTTGCTCTCTCTGTGTGTGTGTGTTGCCGGTGATCAGCGATAATCAGCTGATTAGCGCCAGCTGTGGCTTATCAGCTCAGCTATTTAATGTCTGTGCTTTCCGTCCTGTGTTGTCAGATCGTTGGTGTGGTTGCCGTGTTAATTCGAGTCTCTCTGATCCTGGCTGATTCCTTTGGATTCTGTCTCTCCTCTCTCGTGGAGCTCGCCGCATGGACCTTTGAGGAATCGGCTGCCTATTTGAGTCCCTGCGCTGCCAAGAGTGACTGTTGGCTTTCCTGTCTGCTTTACTCTTGCCTTCTTCCTTGTTAGGACTTCTCAATAAACTGTCATTTTTTCACATTCGCTACTGAATCCTTATTTTTTCACCCTGACATGCGTACCGTACTGTACTTTACCCAACCGTACCGCTCAGTGGAAACGAGCCATAAGGTATCAAAATGGACCCTTTAGGTACAAACATGTACCTTTTGAAAAGGTACCGCCCCAGTGACAGCTTTTGTACCTTTATTTCTGAGAGTGAATATACAGTGCACACACACACACACACAAACTGAATATGCATCTGTGTTGTATGCATATTCAGTGTGTGTATATGTATATATATATATATATATATACTGTATATATGTCTATCTATCTATCTATACTGAACATGCATACAAGCCAAGTCAGAAAGTCAACTTTATTTCTAAAGTGCTTTATACAATATAGATTGTTTCACAGCAGCTTCACAATAGTATCAAATTCACATTCTGCTGTAAAGCAGCTCTAACAAGTCAATAGTGTCATTCTACAGCTCAAGTCAGTCCAGGATTGATTCAGTTCAGTTTCATAACTGTGTAAAATTCCTCAGTCATACATACTGTACTGTATATACAGTGTATATGTGCATATGCATGTATGTGTGAGTGCTATGACAAACTCCTGTGCTCCACTGCACTCTGAACAAGCAAAAGACACACGAGAGCAGTGTTTTACATTTTTCACATCTGTGTGTAGTTTGGCGTGTATGTGGCTAATTATTTTATGTTTGTGTGTAGAGTTACTATGCAAAAATAAAATTTTTAGAAGAGTTAAAATAGTTTTCAAAGAAGTATTTGCTTTTACAAGATATGTGTGACATATTGCATGTTGTGTGTGTGTTTTGTGGTTCCTCTTCAGGAACTTGAGCTGCGTCGGAGGACGCTTGGGGAACGCCCTTCAGTGTGACCAGCTCTGAACCACGTGTGTAATCAGTCCAATGGATGGGCGAGACGTCACGGGCAGGGTGACGTAGCGACCAAGAAGCTTAAAAGCATGTGCGGTGAAACCGGCGTCAGCTTTCTGTCATCCAGCAAGCGCTCTGTGTGTGTGTCAGTCTGATATCTGTTTGTGAGTCTTATTTAGTGTTGT